AACGAATAACGAAGAGAAAGGTTTTAAGAGATAGACAAACCTAAACTCGAGCCTTGGCTTTGATACCAAATGTCGTGGAACCCGCTGGAATAACGAGATCCTATAACGAAAAGAACCCAAAATCATTTTACGATTAGATTTTACGGTAAACCTTGACCCGTTATTTACAACAAACAAGAACCTTGTTATATAGACCTTAACCCGCTGTTTGTGAAACAAGAACCTCAATATAAGGGAAGACGCCACAAACGGTGTGGAAATCCGTTTGATAAGTCGTTGGTAAACGTCACAGAGAATTCCGATAAGTTTGTTTAATTCTTCAAAGAACCGAAGAGAAAACACTCTCAAAATTTGCTGAATAATGGTCTAAATTTTCATTAATTTGAATGCCTATTTATAGGCTGATCGTTTCCTAAAATAGCTATCCTATTTAAAAAATATCTCTTACTTGTGGGTAAAGAAATATCTCTTACTTTCCTAACACTCTTGAAGAAAAAAAGAAAGACATTCAGCCCTTTAAATGGCTTATCACATGCCTAAATAGAAAAAGGGAAAAAACTTGGCATATAAGCCTTACAATTAGACCCTAAAAAGAGTGAATAGTGCACAGTTACTATAGCGTTAACAGTGCAACATTACAGTAACTACAAAAACCCTAGTTCATAATAAATAAAACATGTGGGTTAAGCATCCTCAAGCCCACTTATTAATAATTCTAATCCTTTAGACAAATTGGAGGCCTTAACAACATGAAGTCAATTTAAACTTAGCCTTAGCCCCTAGCTGGATTCTTCTAGAACTTGAATCATGTTGATGAATCTTTGTTGCTCAAGTGGATCATGCTCACTGGGCCTCCACGAACTTGCTTGATTTCATGTCTTTTGAATTAGTCCATTGAGTACTTCTTTAAACTTCCTTGCTCGTGCTCTCATAACCGGCCCACTTAGAACTTGAACTAAATCCCTTGAAGTTGTGTTATAATTTACATCAGGTAGGTACATATATGTTTACTCATTATTATTTAAATTTTTATTTAGAAAGTACCGATTCATGCCTCAAAATACATATAGAATGATATATGTAAATTATATTTATAAATTTAAAACCTTATAATCAACATATATTTAAAAATTAAATAATTTATAACCTAATTGTGCATGAAATTTTATTTTTTTAAGTTTAACTTTAATGCGGTGAAAGTGTTTATATAGATAATAACTTGGTGGGAGGAGTCTTGAGAAACCTTCCTTTCCTAGTATGACTAATTAATAGATTTTAGAATTATTTTATCCCAATCAAATCCTGTCATGTGACCACAAAATTATTTCTTTCATGTATTTATTTGTAACAACCCATTTGAATTTTTTCAAAAGAAAATTGTCATTATCATATAACTATCCAATAAATGGTTTGGGCGGAGTGAAGGGAATAGTTGTGGATGTAGAGATGTCGACTGAAAAAATTTATAAATTTTGTGTATCACACAGATGCCGACTATCATATAATACGACTCAGGACGTCAACCATCATATATTATACAACTTTCCTAAGGCATTCCCATTTTCAAATTTTTTGTTGTAGCATGTGTGAGAATTATTTACCTCCGAAGTAAAGATTTATTATAACCGTTATATCATGTCAGTTCTATTAAATAGTGTTACCTCTCACCAATTCGTCTAATATTATAATTAATAAATTAAATTTTAAATTTATAGAAATATAACAACAATTTAGATATATTTAATTTTTATTTACTAAAATTCAATAATATAAAATTTGTTCTAAAATTATTTTTTTCGCTTAAAAACATATATGCTTTATACAATTCTTAATATCAGATAATTCAACTAAGATATTCTCTACTACCAAATAATTTTATCAAACCATTCCTACCTTTCTCTTACTTTCTATTTATTCATTTTAATTTTAAATTATATAATTTTAAAAAATTCTTATTTAAAATATCCATATTACACAATCAATGCTTAATTTTTTTGTAGTGTTGAAAAATATGCCCAGGACCATTTCTGGTAAACAAATAACTTGGCCTACACCCCACTTTTTTTAAAAACTATTCATTGCAATGGNTCATTCATTTTAATTTTAAATTATATAATTTTAAAAAATTCTTATTTAAAATATCCATATTACACAATCAACGCTTAATTTTTTTGTAGTGTTGAAAAATATGCCCAGGACCATTTCTGATAAACAAATAACTTGGCCTACACCCCACTTTTTTTAAAAACTATTCATTGCAATGGTAACTAACAATCTTGTCAAGTGAAACAGTTTCGGTGGAACACATTTGTATTAAAATAAATTCTCTATTCATATAAGACTTGTTTATATAAACGAATTCAACTATCACACTCATACACAAATCGTTTATTAGACAGATTATCATATACAACTATGTGTCACCCGTTAACTAAGAGAATATGTTATAATATTTCGAGTTTATACGAAAAATTNGTATCGGGTGGAACAGATTTGTATTAAAATAAATTCTCTATTCATATAAAATTTATTTATATAAACGAATTCAACTATCACACTCATACACGAATCGTTTATTAGACAGATTATCATATACAACTATGTGTCACCCGTTAACTAAGAGAATATGTTATAATATTTCGAGTTTATACGAAAAATTATCAAGTCGCCACAAATTACACATATTTGACCTATTTATTATAACAATAAATTATGGCAAAACAAAAAAAATATAAACATTAAATAATACTACTAAATTTGCACAAGTCTGTGAGAAAGAAAGTGTGAAATGAGACAGCCGATGACAAACCTAACTTTAAAAAAAAAAAAAATTATAATCCAACTTTTAACGTGTTAAATTGAGCTTTTTGAATTATACACAAAATTAATTCATTTATTTCAATGATATGCCGAGTTAACCGCTTTAACTCAAACCCGTTAAAATTAGCTCAAACCTAAATCCGTTAAAATTACGCTCAAACCTAAATCCGTGTGGTAACATTATATCATTATTGTTACATACCGTAACCATTCAGTTAAAAAACAACAAATAAGTAAAATACATTTCACCAATCTTATGTGTAANTGCCGAGTTAACCGCTCAAACCCGTTAAAATTAGCTCAAACCTAAATCCGTTAAAATTACGCTCAAACCTAAATCCGTGTGGTAACATTATATCATTATTGTTACATACCGTAACCATTCAGTTAAAAAACAACAAATAAGTAAAATACATTTCACCAATCTTATGTGTAACCATGAAATTGGCACAAAAAAAATTAGTACAAGATCAATTTCATTAATTTAACATAGAAATTCAAGTAATTTTAACCTATATTGATTTAGATTTTTCATCAATTAAACAATTGATTGATGTGAAACATTCAAATCCAAAGCTGAGGAACAGCTTCTTGATTTTTCTCAAATCCAACAAAGAACCATTCTCTCCTACAAGCTGAGGTTTTGAATTGAAGTATTTCTTGTAAACTTTTCCAAGTTATAAAAAAAATGAAAGAAAAACTTTACAATATGCTTTGTCTAACTTGACGGCAATACCAACGTTCGTTTGTGTTACTGTGCCGGCAACGTTTCAGGCCGCCACAAATCTGACCCAAAGCCTAGATCTGAATAATCAAACAATCCCTCTAAGGCCACATACTCGCCGTTACCGTTGATATGGCTGTCGGTAACACCGATTCCATACTCAAACGAGTCATAACTCGGAATATGATCTTCAAATCCCCATAACTCACTGAGTTCGGAAGAAACTCTCACCAACTCATTTTCCTCCGGATACTCGACCCCGTTCGGTGACGTATTTGATGGAGGCAGGCCGAGTTCATCGTCGGATGCTCCCAAAAGGAACCCGAGATCCGGCTGAGACTCGCCTGAATCTGACGTCAGATCCACCACGGTAGCATGTGACGGAGAACCAGATATCTCTTCTTCAAAGCTCTTCATGAACGACTCCAGATCTTCACTCTCCGTACACAGATCCGAATCGTCAAGATTGTTGAGAAGATCCTCTCGGATTCTCTTGACATCCGGCGAGTCAATCTCTGACTCGTCCAACTCGTCACGGACTCGCTTCTTAATACTCAGCTCTTCCATGGCAAAGAAAAAAATACGATGTGAGGACACAAGGTAAAGCAGAGGCTAGGATTAGGGTTTCAGTGTAGATAACACAGGAGATGAGGTGGATGTGGTGAAAAGTAGGGAAGAAATGCGAACTTATATAATGGAGAAATGTGGAGAGAGAAAGTGGTGAGAGGAGAGAGAAAGTGGTGAGAGAGAAAGAGAGAAAAGTAGAGAGAGAAAGTAAATGATGACGACGCAGGCGCGTGGGTGCGAATACTTGGGGCCATCACGGATTTGCTTTTCTTTTCCCAGCTTTTCATTTTCCACCTTAACGTGTCCGTTGTGTGTTCTCATTGTTTTTTTAAATTTTCTATTTTTATATTCTGCAATTAACTCGTTTGAAATCAACCTTTGAAGTCCGGTCAGTTCTGTGGGGGTCCACTAACTTAGTCAATCACGGCATCGCCTTTTTCGATATTTAGGATCATTTTTTTTTCCGGTTACGCCCCTTGGNGTCAGTTCTGTGGGGGTCCACTAACTTAGTCAATCACGGCATCGCCTTTTTCGATATTTAGGATCATTTTTTTTTCCGGTTACGCCCCTTGGCTAGCCATGAGTCATGACTAGTCCTAATAAATTTAATACTATCCGATTATTCAACACAAATCGAATAAAAATTTGATTAAAACTACTTCATTATATATCAATAAATTAAATCAAACAAGTTTGATTAGTTTTTTAACAGATGATCCATTATTTCAAAATTAAGATTTTTAATTAGGATTGTGTCATGTAATCTGTTTANTAAATTAAATCAAACAAGTTTGATTAGTTTTTTAACAGATGATCCATTATTTCAAAATTAAGATTTTTAATTAGGATTGTGTCATGTAATCTGTTTAATAAATAAATAATCGGTATTGATTTGCAATTTGCACCCGTTAAATAAACAAGTTATATAAAAATTGAAATTTTTTTTATACAAACCCACTAGAATCTAACACAATTCGACACGACTTAACATAATTGTTAGGCATACTAATTATACCATTTATCACTATTTAATAATAAATTAACATGTATACAAATAGACGCAATTTAATTTAGTAACTAATTTATCCATGTACGAAAATAATTGTCGTGTATAAAAGTGAGATTCACNACTAATTTATCCATGTACAAAAATAATTGTCTTGTATAAAAGTGAGATTCACGATGTGTACCTATAAATTTGTTATTTCGTATGCCATACTAATAGTGATGCGATATTACAGTTATACTAAATATTTCCTCAAACTTAAAAGGCAATAATATTCGTTGCTTTAAATAACGGGAAAGTACATATTTTTCCTAATTGAATGAATATCTTCTATACCACCAAGTGCATAGATCAATTGGTGAGGAGTTGTTTTAACTTAACTAATGTCTTCGGTTTAAGACTTGAGAATGCAGCTGCGTTTAATGGGAAGAATTTTGCCGCCCTTGTGGTCCTATCCGGCTCGAAATTCGGATTAATCGGAGTTTGTTGTGACTTTCGGATACTAAATAGTCTCACCCAAGGAAAAAAAAAAAAAGAATATCTTCTATTGAGATTTTTTTTTTTTTTATGGCTCTGGGGTATCTGCTACTGACATCTGATTGCCTGCCATAAATTTTCTGAATTCATATTACAAGGAGAATACTTGTTCGAATGTTTATTTCGTAGTATTGAAAATTTATTTATATTGACATTTTTTCCTTATTTAATTTTTTTTTATTCTAGCAATGCTTTTTATGATATGAGTTGTACAATTGGTCTTTAATACTTTATTTAGATTTTATTTTATTGTGTTAAAAAATTTTGTTATTCACATTGATTTGTATATTTATGAATTTTTTTATTTGTATTCTTAATTTAAACAATAAATAATGTGCATTTGATCTACTACAAGTTTTTAATTTTCGTAGACCTCTACATAAATAGATATAAATTTATTATTATTATTATTATTATTATTATATATATATATATAGTTAAAATGTTCACCGTAAATTGAATTTCAGTCTCCGCTTCCTTGAGGGCATCATTGCCAAATCATATATATATTTATTGCTATCGAGAAAATTTCAATCCCTTCACTCTACGTTACTATTATGTCATACATGAATAATATCGTAAATACTAAAAGATAAATTTTCACGTCTACGATCAGGCCACGATACGGGCAACTTTCAACATTACTATCATAAATTTACTTAAAAAATCATTTACACTTTTTTAATAGAAAAAAAGTCAAAAACTAGCCTATGGAACGTAGATCACCACTTCAAGTTAAAATAATGCGGCTATTATTAAATTGGCAATTGATACTTGGTGTAAAAACATACAGATGCTATGTGTGACATAGTCACGTTAAAATATAAAAAACAAAACAACTAATCAAAGACAACTTAGAGTTTATGTCCGAAGGGATAAAATACAATTGTTCAATCTCTCGTATTGATCCTACTAGAAAGAAAATAGGGAACATTTTTGCTATTAGTTCTCTCTATTCCATAAACTTATACTTTACCCCATTTAATTTAAAAATTAAAGTTTAAATCTCAAATTTCATAAACTTGTAATTAATCCACAAAGAGATTGACAATAAAAACAAAATATATCTTTTTTTATTTCTTAATTTCTAGTGTATTATTTTTTCACCATTTTTTTATAATTAAAACTACAGTTAATGAATAGAAAGAGAATGAGAAAAATATTGATTTATTTTAAAGAGAAAAAACTAGAATACATATTTTGGGTATAATAATTATTATGGTCCTTTACTTTATTAACAGAGATAACATTTGACTTTTAATTTCAATGGATATTTAAGGATTTCACGGTATAGTTTGAAATTTACTTATAAAAATATAACAATAATTTTTAGCCCAAAAATATCTTTTTCTTTTCTCTCCCTATTAGACAACGTAATTAACACATTTTCTAATGTCAAACAATCTCATTAAGCTACACATATTTCTCTCTTCTCTCTTTCCTCTTTGTCACTTTTTTTTTTGTTTATTTAATTTGAAATTACATAATAAATAAAATTAAATAATTAATTTAACTTAAAATATAAATTTTTGATTTTTAATATTAGTGTATAAAAAAATTAATTTGTTATTAATACTTGAGCAATACAATTGGAACCTAATTTGCTGATTTAATTCACTATAATCTTTGAAATGACTGTGAGTCCTATTAAACATTAGAATTTAGTGTTAATTCAATGGTTCTATTGAAGTCATGTCATTATGTTAACAAATTAAGTTAATTTTNTTTTTTTTTTTTTTTATGGCTCTGGGGTATCTGCTACTGACATCTGATTGCCTGCCATAAATTTTCTGAATTCATATTACAAGGAGAATACTTGTTCGAATGTTTATTTCGTAGTATTGAAAATTTATTTATATTGACATTTTTTCCTTATTTAATTTTTTTTTATTCTAGCAATGCTTTTTATGATATGAGTTGTACAATTGGTCTTTAATACTTTATTTAGATTTTATTTTATTGTGTTAAAAAATTTTGTTATTCACATTGATTTGTATATTTATGAATTTTTTTATTTGTATTCTTAATTTAAACAATAAATAATGTGCATTTGATCTACTACAAGTTTTTAATTTTCGTAGACCTCTACATAAATAGATATAAATTTATTATTATTATTATTATTATTATTATATATATATATATAGTTAAAATGTTCACCGTAAATTGAATTTCAGTCTCCGCTTCCTTGAGGGCATCATTGCCAAATCATATATATATTTATTGCTATCGAGAAAATTTCAATCCCTTCACTCTACGTTACTATTATGTCATACATGAATAATATCGTGAATACCAAAAGATTAATTTTCACGTCTACGATCTGGCCACGATACGGGCAACTTTCAACATTACTATCATAAATTTACTTAAAAAATCATTCACACTTTTTTAATAGAAAAAAAGTCAAAAACTAGCCTATGGAACGTAGATCACCACTTCAAGTTAAAATAATGCGGCTATTATTAAATTGGCAATTGATACTTGATGTAAAAACATAGAGATGCTATGTGTGACATAGTCACGTTAAAATATAAAAAACAAAACAAATAATCAAAGACAACTTAGAGTTTATGTCCGAAGCGATAAAATACAATTGTTCAATCTCTCGTATTGATCCTACTAGAAAGAAAATAGAGAACATTTTTGCTATTAGTTCTCTCTATTCCATAAACTTATACTTTACCCCATTTAATTTAAAAATTAAAGTTTAAATCTCAAATTTCATAAACTTGTAATTAATCCACAAAGAGATTGACAATAAAAACAAAATATATCTTTTTTTATTTCTTAATTTCTAGTGTATTATTTTTTCACCATTTTTTTATAATTAAAACTACAGTTAATGAATAGAAAGAGAATGAGAAAAATATTGATTTATTTTAAAGAGAAAAAACTAGAATACATATTTTGGGTATAATAATTATTATGGTCCTTTACTTTATTAACAGAGATAACATTTGACTTTTAATTTCAATGTATATTTAAGGATTTCACGGTATAGTTTGAAAGTTACTTATAAAAATATAACAATAATTTTTAGCCCAAAAATATCTTTTTCTTTTCTCTCACTATTAGACAACGTAATTAACACATTTTCTAATGTTAAACAATCTCATTAAGCTACACATATTTCTCTCTTCTCTCTTTCCTCTTTGTCTCTTTTTTTTTTGTTTATTTAATTTGAAATTACATAATAAATAAAATTAAATAATTAATTTAACTTAAAATATAAATTTTTGATTTTTAATATTAGTGTATAAAAAAATTAATTTGTTATTAATACTTGAGCAATACAATTGGAACCTAATTTGCTGATTTAATTCACTATAATCTTTGAAATGACTGTGAGTCCTATTAAACATTAGAATTTAGTGTTAATTCAATGGTTCTATTGAAGTCATGTCATTATGTTAACAAATTAAGTCAATTTTTTAGATTTAAATAACATTACTCTTAATACTTATGACATGTTTGTTTGATGGGATAGACCATTTAATCTCATGTTTGGTTAGAATTTTTAAATCTGAGATTCATATCTCGGCACAGAAGTGACCTGAAGTATTAAACCCATATACACCGGTTGGATAAACCCAAGTGGGAGTGGATTTCATATATGC